TATCACCCCAGAAGCCCAGAAGCTCTTGATATTAGGGATCCATGGGCAATGCTTTGACGAATACTGAGTCTTTAGGTGACCACGTTGTAGTTGTGTACATGAGCACCCACGTGCATTAACTCTGAACCTGTGTGTGTGTGTGTGTGTGCGCGCGTGTGTGTGTAGTTCTAGGAGGATGGTCATTAAAATGGCAATACTGGTGATCTCTGGGTGTAATGATTTCACGAGATTTGAGATATATTTCTCTATGCTTTTCTTTCTTCCTTTCTTCCTTTCTTTCTTTCCCTGCTCCGTGCAGCTTGTGGGATCTTAGTTTCCCAGCCAGTGATCAAACCTGGGTCACAGCAGTGAAAGTGCCAAGTCCTAACCACTGGACCACCAGGGAATTCCCTCTCTGTGCTTTTCTATATTTTAATTTTTTATGATGAGCATATTATTTTCAACAGATAAAGCCATCAAGGCTTTCCCATGGGCGGGGAAGAGCAGACTATTATAGAAGAAATATTATATAGGAAGTAGGTTTGAGGGAAATGTGGACCTACGGAAAGACAGCCACAAATGTAAATGAGTCTTTTTTTTTTTTTTTTTTTGTGGTACGCGGGCCTTGCCCTGCGGGGGCCTCTCCCATTGCGGAGCACAGGCTCCGGACGCGCAGGCTCAGCGGCCATGGCTCACGGGCCCAGCTGCTCCGCGGCATGTGGGATCTTCCCGGACCGGGGCACGAACCCGTGTCCCCTGCATCGGCAGGCGGACTCTCAACCACTGCGCCACCAGGGAAGCCCCTAAATGAGGCTATTTTAACTCCCAGAGCTAGTATCCCTTTTTCAGTGGCTTCCAACCCCTGAGCCTGATATTGAGAAGGAAGGAATGTCACACCTCCTGTTTTCAAATTGCCTGTTCTAGGCAAAGCCGGGGCCAAAGTCATGCCTTGGAATTTGGGAGGGTGGAGTTGAGCCAGAAGGCTGGGCTGCCCCTTCTGTGCGTCCCTGGCGTCCCGGGCCTGGCAGCCCCTCCCCGCCTCCACCTGACCTGGTGCTCGAGCACCCTGGCCGGCCAGGCAGAGCTGGGATGGCGATTTTACAGCGCTGTTATTACTCCGTTGTTGCCCAGTAAACCCACACCAGGCCCCACAAACACTCCTCACGAAGGCCAGACCCTTCCTGAGAAATGGTTTCCTACACCTTTACAACGTGATAGGTGCCGTGGACAAAAGGGGCCGTTGGGTTTATGGAGACTATATAAAGTTTATAGAGTCTTGGCAGGGCCAGAAGTAGAAAAGGCCTGTGGGATGGGGGTGGGTATTTGGAAATGCAGAAGGCCCGGAAAGAGCAGCCAACCTTTGTGTGGAGACGCCAGATAAAATACCCCAAGGGCATGCGATGTGGCATGGGGCTGGGGGAAAGGTGGCCCTTCCGGAACAGCTGTTGGGAATGCCTTTCTGGCGGATCCCTTTTGATCTTCACAGCATTCCTGTGAGGGAGGTACAATTATCCCCATCCTGCAGAGGGGAGACTGAGGCAAAGGTATTTTGAAAGTTCTGACTTTCACCAAGGTCAGCTCATGGTCTAATGGTGTGTGGCTCCCAGGTGGGCCTTCTGGGGCAGGCTAAATTCTCGCATTCTCTCTCCTGTGTATTGAGCGGCGTGTCCTAGTTTCAGGGACAGAAAATATGGTCTGCTTACCCTATTTCTGTTTGGGACTCATTTGCTATTTGTGACCTAGTCTCACAGGCCCCTGGTGTCTTCGGTCATCACCTTGCCCTCCTATGGCTCCACTGTGCTCTTGAAGCTGATTTGTGCCCGGATTCACCCACTGGCCTTGGCTGGAATGGAAGTGAAGCCACCCAGAGGTTGGCTGTGGATCAGGCCAGGGCTAAAATGCTGTCTTTGCCTTTCAGGATCCCTCCGTGTCCTAATTCTATGGGGGGGATCATCTTAGGGCCCCCAGAGGAGTCCCCCGTGGAGTCTGAAATCACCTCCTCCCGTCCCATCAGCTCTTGAAATTTCTAATCCATTTCTCCTTGTCTCTGTGCCTTGTGGCATCCGTGTTTTCTCTTCATTTCTCCTTGTTTCTGTGCCTTGCGGCATCCGTGTGTTTTCTCTCCTACTGGCTGTCAATTCTTGGAGTGCAAGATTCCATGAATGCTTAATTCTTCATTTCTGATTTTGCCCACAGGGTTGGGCATAGTTCCCAGCAAGTAGTAATCATTGAGTAAGTATCAGCTGGGAGGCCGGCTGAATGGATGAATGGATGGATGGATGGATGGATGGATGGATGGATGGATGGATGGAATAATGAGTGGGTGGATGGATGGATGGACTAACGGGTGGATGGATGGATGGATAGATGGATGGATGGAAGGACTAATGGGTGGGTGGATGGGTAAGTGGATGGACAGATAGGTGGCTCAGTGGGCAGATAGATGAGGCATATGTAGACTAACAGACACCCACTTCCTCATTTACACCCACTTCCTCATTTGCACCCTGCTGCACAGTTAAACTAACAGCCTACGCCTGGTTCTCTTAGGCTTTCACTGAATGCACTTTTGTTTCAGGAGACAGACTTTGCTCTCTCTGAAGCCATATGGAGAAACCAGTCTGAGTGTTTGAATGTGTGTGTAAATACTTTACAATCCCCATAAACTTGTTTAAAGACAGGTTGGGGGTGAAGATATAAACTGGGGCAGCCTTTTGGGAGGGCAGTCTGGAAGTCGCTATTAAATTTTCAAATGTGCCCACTACTAAGACCCAGAGGTTCCGCTTGTCGTCAGGCGTAAGAACTATAGTCACACGTCTGTGCACAGAGACTCACATGCCAGGTTGCCTGTGCCAGGGTGCTGGCTACTGCACTGCTCCATACAGTAAAAAACCAGGAATAGCCCATGTCCATCAACAGCGGGACAGACCTAAACTATGGGAAGACCCACGCTATGGAAAAAGCTGCAGAGGCAGAAAGGTCTCTTCCATCTTCTGGGAAGTCCTGGAACTCTGTAACTCATGGCCCTCAGCACATGCCCCCCTCCTGGCCTCGCTTCCATCAGCTTCTTTTCCTTCCTCCCTCCTCCCGCCTCCCACGAGAAACAGTTCACTAGAATGAGCTCTTTCATCCTTGTGCCTACTAGCCAGTGACCTTCCCTGACGGAAAAAGAGGAAAATGAGAGAGAAACAGTTATGTGCATAATTACTGTCTGCTGGCTCTTCAATTAAAAAGATTGAAAGGCACAATATTAAAATTTGATTTATGGGCACCACTATCTACCTAATAATGAGGCTGGGAGGAAGAAAAGAACCACAGTCGCTAGAGAAAACCATAGCCTTTTTTTCTCGGCCAAGAGATAAATTGCCTCTCATTTTCTTATTGCTAAAGAAATATGAAATGGTTTTAGGCATATGTGATATGTTCTTCCAATATGTTGAAATCCAGAACTTAGTAATTTAGGAGTCCTCTGGCTCCGACATTTCCAGGAAGCTTCCTGAGAGGTGTAGTGTCTTGAGCTGCAGGGGCTGCTACTATGGTCCCCGGGGCGCCCAGACCCAGGCACTGGCACCACCGCCTATCACGGAAACTCCCTCCGGGTCCCCAGGTGCCAAGCCAGCTGATGCCACAGAGCCGAGGAGCGAATGGGGAAAGCACAGACTCTAGTTCCAAGTCCTAATTTTGTGGCTTATTAGCTCTTTGATCCTCAGTTTCCTCATCTGTAACATAGGAACAATACCCTTACTAATTGCGTGTCGCTGGGCAAGTGCCCCAGTTTTCCCATCTTGAAGGTCCCTCCCTGCGAGGGTTGTAGGAAGGATTAAATCAGTGAATGCATGTGAGGTGCTTAGATGTGTACCTGCCCACATAGCGGGTGTTTGGTAAATATGTTTTAGATCATTATCATTACTACTGCAGATGCCTTTGTCGTAATTTTTGGAAGAGATGGAATTCAAACCCAAGCCTTCCATTTCCAGGGAGCTGGCTGATGAGGGGCAGACAGACAGATGCTCAGCTCTGTCTCTCTCCAACTGATGTCCGGGGCAAGTCAGGGTACCTCTCTGAGCCCCATTTTGTTCATCTATAAAATACTAGTTTCTACTTCGCAGGTGGTATTGTCAGGATTAGAGATTATTGGAGACAAAGTGTCCAGGACACAATTAGTGCTGGGTAGATAGATGGCAATAAGTCTTGAAAAGGAAAGACCTTTCCTCCTAAGAAACCTGTTTGGGAAGTTATGTCCTGTGGGAGAAGGGGTCTGTGTCTGGTTGGCGTCTTCCCTGCTCACTGGGGCTCTGCAGAACTCTCGCCTCCTGGGGCGCACAAAGTATTCCCTGGCTCTAAAAATAATTGCTGCAAAGAAAAAAAAAATGAGCCGCTATTGTGCCAGGAACCCTGCTGAGCCTGACCTGCAGGATCGCAGGTCAGTCTTACGGCAACCTGGAAGTAGGCTGTCACCCATGTATCTTCATGGGGAAGATCAGATATGGGGATAGGCGACTGGCCCAAGGACACAAAGCTGGGAGGTAACCAGGTTAAAAGTCCAAGCCAGGACTGTCAAATTCTTTCCACCACGCATTCACGAGCCCCCTCCCAATTCCTAATCACTGACCTCCCCTCCTTTCCTCCATCGTAGCTCCTCTGACCCACACTACCGCCAGGCAGGTGTGTGACACCATCACCTCGTGCTTTAAATTTGTATCTTCCCACCAGTGCTTCTTATGCTGGAGAGTCAAATGTCCAAATGCTCACGTTAGCTTGTGCATGAGATTTTGTTCTGTGTGTCTGAATTCGTGGGTCTTTAATCTATTTAAGATGCTCAGGGTTGGGCTGGAGAAAATGGATTCTAGGTGCTCCCCAGGCCCTTGCCAGCCTCCTTCTGGGAAGGTCTCCATCCCTATATGGGACCTCCGGGGCTCCCCATCCTACAGAGATTCCATAGACTCTCCCCTTGGGAAGAGGAGGGTGGGATTTTGCATGTATTTCTTTGCACCCAGCTAATGGCACTTCTTTGTTTTCAGTTGAGAGGGAGAATGTGCAGAAGCGGACTTTTACTCGATGGATAAATCTCCATCTGGAGAAGGTAAGCAGGGCACTCGGCTTGTTGTTAAGTGATGGATTCCTCCATAACGGAGTGCACAGTTCAGCAGAGCGGGGGTGAGGGTGCTCAGTGTTTCTGTTGTGTTGTTGTTTTTCATTCATTCATTTAAACATCTGTTGAGTGCATTCTCATTGCCAAGCGTCAGGCTCAGTGCTGGGAACATGAAGGTAAGTAAGACATGGGGTTCTGACCTCCTGGGGTTATCAGTCTAGCTGGGGAAGGAGAGGGTCCATCTTTAAATAGGAATCGCTGAGCAAAAGTTAGGAAACATTCACTGTTGAACAACCCAAACAGGGGGCTGAGGGGATCTCGACCTCTAGTCTGGGGTGGTCAGGGAGGCTCTCGTGAAGACCCATTTGTAGGTATTTGCGTTGATTCAAGCAAAAACTCCTCGCACTTTTTAACCGAGCCGGATTCCCTGGTTCATCACGTGATGCTCCTGTTGGTCAACGATATTATCTGCTTGTTTGGGTGCATCGAGCACACATCTCCCTTAACCCTCAAGACAGCCCTCCTTACCCTGCACCCCATCCTGTTACGAATGAGGAAACAGAAGCCTAGAGACATTGAATCGCTTCTCTGCAATCCCACGACCGAGAAGAAAGCTCTTCCTGTGGCTTCTCCTGCATATTCCACTTTGTGACCCCTCTTCTCCCCTTTTTCTTTTTTTGCTAATACACTCTGGCCAAGCAACATTGAAGCGCATTTTGTCTGCCGGCTTCTCAGGCACACACACCCTAAAACAAAAGCAGCTGAACCAGACACAAGGATGAGCCGCAGAGAAGGGGCGGGATGTGAAATGGATAAATAAACAGCTCGGAGGAGGAGAAATCCGAACCCTCCTCACCACTAGGTTAGCCCCCCACCCCCCCACCCCACCCCCGACAGAGAACATTCTAAATTGCCCGGGGCTGGGGGAGGAGAGATTATTTTTCTTATTATAAGAAAGCTGGTTTATCAGGATTCATTTTACTCACTTCACATCTTCTTAAATTCCACTATCTGGTTCTCCAAATAGACCCAGCCAGTAGTCTCATGTCTTTCAAAGCTGGTGGTATTCAAATATCCTACTTCAGTGAGTTTAATACCTATATTTTCTTCTCTCCTCTCCTCTTAAAAGGCACAAGAGTAATATTAACTGCCCTTAGAGTTAACCCCAAAGAAAGGTTCTTAGAGGAAATCACTGAAATGATTAGAAAGCAGAGAAAATAAATGTGGTTTTTTAGGAAGTGGAGCTCTTGACCAAAATTTTAATTCACGTAGCTTAAACTTTAGGCCTATAATATTTCCCGAGCAGACGCTTGACCACCCACACTTCTCTTCCCCGCCTGTAGAACGGGTTCCGCTCGACCCAGGAGGCTCCTGAACTCTTCAGGGCAAAGTCTCTCTATACCGTGGATGAAGCGCGATAAATCACTTGCCCGGTTGTTTTGACTATTGGTGCATTTTCGGCACTGCTCACACAGTGAAGGGTTATTTTTGGAAAAAAAGGAAAACCGTTCCCCAAATCTGAGTTCACTGAACTCCTAAATTAATGCCTGATGTGTATCAGGGTAGCTGGAAATTCCTCCTGGCAGACGGAGTTCAGTGTATTTCTTTCTTTCTTTCTTTTAAAAATAAATACAGAAAAGTACAGAGGGTAATAGAGCAAATACCCTCGCAGTCACTCACCTCCACCCCCACCCCCACACGAACCTCTGTGAGCATTGATCGCATCCAGAATTTTCTCCGTGGCCATGCTTCTGCTTCCTTTTTCGGGGCGGGTGGGTAGCACCCACTCTACGGATAAATCAGCACCTGAAACGGATTTGTAATAAACAGGGCAAAATTCACAGCCGTGTTTCCAACCTTGAGACTTTCAAGAACAACTTTTCATGTAAGGGAAACCCAGGAACTCCTTGGGGAAGTGGGCTTAACTGCAATTTGAAGGCTGTCAGAAATATTTACGGGGTCTCTGGCTTCTGGAAAAATTCCTTAATTTACCCAAGGAGTTAGATCACGAAGAAACCCCTGGCGGTGCTGTTTACTCGGCCATACCAATCTCATGAAGCCCATGGAACGTCTGGGGCCCCGAGGAGTGTTTTCACTGGAGTGGGTTCAATTTCTCCTCCTGCCATCTTGCAGATGGATGCCGGCCAAGGCCCCGCTCGCTGCTGCTGGGCTGAGGCTCTTACAGACACTGTCAATGGAAATTATTCTCCAGGTTCAGCTCAAAAGCAAGGTTTGGCCACGGTCGGGGCTGCTAACGGGAAATTTTGTGAGTTCATCTATCAGGGGCTGTTTTGTTCAGGTCTTGCGTTTCTGCCCCGCGTTAACAGGAATAACATTTCCATAAGAGTCTTGGTAACCTGATACCGTCATGCTCCGTGTGGAATGTTCCTGCAGAGCAGTGGGGAGTTGGCAAAGAAAATAATTTGCCTTTGGGTTCAAAGTCGCTGTTGCCCTTGAAGCAAAGCTCTTTTCTGTGCACCTGTGGGTGGAATTGCCCGGTATTTTGACTAACTGGGAGTCAGGGGGCTCGTATAAGAGGTAAGGAAATGCCACCTCCCGAATAAAAAAAGAAAACATGGGCCCTCCAAGGCTTTCACGGGGAGGAGGCCTTCCTGGAGAGGAGGCCTTCCCGGAGGAAAGGGTGCCTGGGCCACAGCTCCAAGATTTCCCTGGCTCTCTGATGGGTGACAGGCGCCATACCTGTCCCCCAATTAATCCGGTCTCCTGTGGAAACACCCCCCCTTCGTCATCCCCAAGAGCAGTAAGTGTTCTAATTTTTCCAAATGCCCCAATACCAGAAAGTAAATAGAATTTATGCTGGGGGGGGGGGTTAATGAAAAATGCAGGTTCCTGGACCCTGTCCCCCAAGATTCAATAAATCCTAACCATCCTGCATTAAAGGAGTTTTTATCAAGCTTGTTTAGTCAACAGAAACCTTTCTTTAAGCAAAGTCTTCCTGGAACCCTAAATAAAGGCCATTAAGAGCTATCGAAGGGAGTGCCTTGAATAAGCCTCCTCTGGGACCGCCCCCCCCCCCCCCCCCCCCGCCCCCATAGGGCTCTGTGAAGTGCTCTGCTGAAGCTCTGTTCTGGGAAGCACAGTTTGGAAATCGATGTGCTGGGATATCTGCCCAACAAGTTCCAGCCGGCCCCGCGGACCCCAGGCCACACCCAGCCAAACTCTTGGTGGACACAACACAGGTCCCTCAGACCTCCCCAGGTCAGAGAGGAAAGCAGGGGCCTTCTGACTTTTTCTACCCAGAGCCTCCTCCACAGCTCCCCAGCGCACCCACTGCCCACGGGCCACCTCCAGGGAGAGGGGATCGCTGTCTCCTTGGATGGGCCCTGCTGCCTGTAGGCACATCTGGGTGTCCGGAAGTTTTTTCTCCAGTGAAAGCTGCAGTTCTGAAATTGTTTTGTGAGTTACACAGATCACTAATCGGCTACTTTCTTTCCCCCTCTTCCACAGTGCACCCCACCTCTAGAAGTTAAAGATTTATTCGTTGATATACAAGATGGCAAAATCCTAATGGCTTTGTTAGAAGTCCTGTCTGGGCGAAATCTGGTATGTATGCTCCAGAAGGGTTAGGAAGAAGTAAAAATGCAAAGGAAAGCATTGCCAAAGGGTTCTTTTCTGTACAGATCTATGTGTATGTACATATATACCTGGCCATCCATAAATCCTATGATGGGAAACCTGGGAGGGTGACATTCCTTTCTCGGTGACTAAGACTGATACAGTCACGTGTAACTAAGCAAATATACTTTAGCAAGTAAATAAATAAATGCCCCATGTTTTCTGTGAGTCCAAAGCTAAGGATCATGACTGAATCATGACAGTTTAGCTGGCCAGCCTTGAAATTACCTAGAATGAGAGCTAAGAGTCAGGAAGATGGAGAAGAAAGGCATCTTATTAGCCAAAATCTATAATCCACCAACTAGATACACAGAATTCTAGAACCTTCTTGCGAGTATGACCAAAATTGAATTGAACCAGCTGATCTTGGGGTTCCTTCCACTTTGGATCTTCACCAGAGCTCTCCATGTTGCCTGTATCTGCTGTATATAGGTCGGTCCTCTCTCCCCAGTTCCACACTGTTGGCATCTTGGCTGGGGTAGTTCTTTGTCATGGGGGCACTGACCTGGGCATTGCAGGATGTGTAACAGCAAGCATCCTTGGGTCTCTATCCACTGGATGCCAGTAGTACCCCCAGATTTGACAACCAAAAATGTCCCCAGGCACTGCCAGAGGTTCCTTGAGGGGGCACAGTGATCTGGTCAGAATACCAGTGGTGTCAATTTTGAGAAACCGGCTCTAGAGTCCAGCGTTTGACTTGGCTCAAGTGACCCAGCGTGGCTGATACAAAAGTGCCGCGATGGGGTATAGCTCAGCCCGTGTGGACCTCTCTGGATTTGTTCCTTTTTTTTTTTTTTAAATAAATTTATTTATTTTATTTTTGGCTGCATTGGATCTTCTTTGCTGCATGGTGCGCGGGCTTTTCATTGCGGTGGCTTCTCTTGCTGCGGAGCACGGGCTCAGTTGCTCCGCGACATGTGGCATCTTCCCGGAGCAGGACCTGAACCGTGTGCCCTGCGTTGGCAGGCATATTCTTAACCACTGCGCCACCAGGGAAGCCCATCTGGATTTGTTCTTAACTGTAGCTTTAAACTCAAGAGCCCCTACTTCTGTTCTCAGCTGTAATGTGGCTGGAGTCTTATCACACCCCTTCCTTGCCTTTGCTTTCCCAATAGCCTCCCCACCCCGCCGCAAGGGGGCGGTGCAAAGTGATGCTGTGAATTCTAATGAAGGGCAAAGCCACTGCAGTAAAACCCCTACTTATGAACGAGTTCCATTCCGAGAGCGTGTGTGTAAGTCCAATTTGTTCATAAGTCCCACAGAGTTTGCCTCGGTACCCATCTAACACAATTGGCTATATACCACTGCTTTTGGGCTTGCTTCCGGACATCCTGGGCTTGAAGTAAAGATACTGTACTCTATACAGTACTGTACAGTGAAGTACACAAAACACAACCACTTGTAGAGGATGCACGCACGTGGCAATGTACGCCAGACACGTGAACTAACTTACGTGATGGGACATGCGAACGCACATTCGCATCTTTGAAAGTTCACAACTTGAAGGTTCGTGTGCAGGGGACTTACTGTATTTGGTTTCTTTGCACATCTCACAATGGGCGGCCAGCATGGTCTCTAATAGGCTTCCTGAAAAAGCGCGTTCTAGCCCCTCGTTCTGTGTTCCCAGCAGCCCAGGCTCCCACTTCGCTGCCAGGGCACTGGTTAGGAGCTACCGTGTCCTTGCGGGGCCTCTGTTGGGAGTCTTTGATCCTGGAGCCCAGCCAAGAACATCCAAGACCTCACCCATTAGCTTGCCTGGAAGTTCACACCGTGTGGAAGTGATACCCACTGGCTTGCCTTATAGTGTAAAGCACCCACCTGGAGGAGCGGGGACGGACTTCAGTTTCAGGATGAGTTTCCTTTGCTGATGCTCCTAGTGGGTACGACGAGCATTGTCAGAGCTTTTGCTTCTGCAAACACCTTTCTCTCTCTCTCTCTCTCTCTCTCTCTCTCCTCTCTCTCTCTCCCTTTCTCTCCTCTCTCTCTCCTTTCTCTCTCTCTCTCTCTCCTCAGTCTCTCTATGCTTCTCTGTGTCTGTCTCTTTCTCTGTCTCTCTGTTCTCTGTCTCTCTGTGTTTCTGTCTCCGTCTGTCTGTCTGTCTGTCTCTCTCTCTGACCTGGGATAAATGCCCACAAAGCTCTTGGCCAGAAAACAGAAACATCTGCGGCCGCCAGGGAGGGCTTACTGGATGATTTAGCAGCTGTGGGTGACACTCCCGGCTGACGCTTTCTGCCCTGACGAAAAGCATCAGTGCAGTGAGAACATGTCACCGACAGTCTCTGGAGGAGGGAGGAGTATCAAAAGCCAGGAGCTGGGTCAGAGAGAAACATTTGACAAATCTGTCCCTTGTTTAACCCCTGGATTCCCCTCCTTCACCAACTCGAGTGAGTTTGGTCCCAGGAACCATAAATAAGGTGACCGTCGGGGGCCCCTGAGGGTACGGTTGTGCATCCTGGGGCCCCGTGCCCGGCTTTGGATGTGGTCCGTGTGGGCTCTGCTATGAGCCCCAACCTTCTCTTGAGACTAATGTGAAAAAGGTAAAGAAAAAGACAGGCACATCCGACGGCACCGCTGGGGACTGAGTGCCTGTCTTGGCTTAACTGCTTGTTTTGTTCTGGTTTGTGTTACAGCTGCACGAATACAAGTCCTCATCCCATCGTATTTTTCGGTTGAACAACATAGCAAAGGCGCTTAAGTTTTTGGAAGATAGCAATGTAAGTATCTGAAACACATCTTGTTAACACAGACTTCCCTTTGACCAAAAGGACATAATTTGAAGTTTAATGCTGGTCACAAGAGATAAGGGCAAAGGGGACCCTGCTGAGATGGTCGAATGAAACTAAGTTGAAATGTAACAGAACTCCCACAGTTAATCCATCAGCCGGAGATACAGTCCCTGACTCCCTGCCCGCCCCTCCATCTCCATCAGGCTCTCAGATGTTCAGAATTTAGTTGACATTTTCTTTTTCATTTGGGGGGATAAGAGCATGGCAGCGTGTAAAAACTTTTTCTTAGAACTCAGAATATGGGAGAAGCAAGGAGGAAAAGGGGGCCAAATGAGCCGGGGGAAAATTACATAATTCTGTCCCCTTTGATATAACTTTCTCGACTTAAATTAGCCTTTTCTGTGTTTTGAACTCTGCTTCGTGTCCTTCAAAACTGGGAAGGAATGGCCCTAGAGGGATGAAATTTCCAAGGTTCCCCTTTCATTAAGTTTCACCAATTAATGACCACGTGGGTCCCTGCATTGGGAGGGGGAGGGGCCGTGCAGTGGTGCCGGCACTTAGCAGCCCTGGGTTTCATCCCAGCCCTGATTCCCCAGTCTTCCAGGTCATTCTGTGACCCCTTGGCATCCTTTCAACACATTCCTTTTCTGCTTAAATCAGCCCAGATCAGATCCTGTTGTTTACCATCAGGAACCCCAAACAAATTGCACTTCGTGATGATGGTCTGCTGTACATGCCGATGTGTCGGGCAAGCTGAGGGGTTTTTACTGCACTGTCCCCCTGCCTCCAGCACAGCCCCTGGAAGGAACTCTCGGTGTCACTCATTCAGATTCTAAGGCCTGGGCTGATAAGCCTGGATCCCCACCCATGTCCTGGCTGCCAAGGGCAGGGAAAAGCACCTTTGGCTTTTGAAGAGGGAGGTGTACCCTGCCTCCCGTACTGTGGGGAAAGCCCCAGACCTAGGAGGGAGTTCAGGTGGCGACGGCCAAAAAGCACCGCTCTGCTCATGGCAGCATCGTTCATAATAGCCAAAAGGCGGGAGCAACCCGGATGCCCATCCATGGACAAAGGGATGAACAAAATGTGGTCTGTCCGTGCAATGGAATATTATTCTTCCATGAAAAGGAATGAAGTGCTGATACAAGCTGCAGTGTGGATGAGCCTTGAAAACATTATGAAAGATGCCAGACAAAAAGGACCACTTCTTCTATGAATCGATTCCTGTGAAACGTCCAGCAGGGAAATCTCTCGAGTCAGAAAAGAGATGGGTGGTTGCTCAGGGTTGAGAGAGGTTGGGGGATTAGACAAGTGACAGTTAAAGGGTATAGGATTTCTTTTTGAGGTGATGAAAATGCTCTAAAATTATGGTGATGCCAAAAAACCATGGAATTGTATATTTTAAATGGGTGAATTGGATGGGATGGGAATCGTATCTCTCAATAAAGCTGCTTTTAGAAAAGCACGTCCCGTTTCGTGAAAACGCTGGCCTCTCTGCAGAGTCAGTTTCGCCATCCGCCTCGGTGCTGACGGCACGTTCAGGGCACCGCTGCCATGGCTCCCACTCCTGGAAAATGATGTAGACGCCTTGAGCCTCCATTTCCACATCTGTTACACAGAGGTGATGAGAGCCAAGCCTACTTCAGAGAATTGTTGAGGATGGAATGTGCCTGTCCAGGTGGGGTTTAGCCAAGTGCGGGCACAGGGCGAGGGCTGCGTTCGTTAGCTGTGGCTCTTGCTACCTCCCCTCAGCTCCATAGCTCCACTGTCTGCTCCTGGAAGGGAGCGTTAGGCGTGGCCCTCCTGGGCATTGTCCACCCCTGAATTCCAAAGAGCGTTGTTTTTATGATAACGTGGGGCCTTGGGACCACTGCCCGGGATACTCACTGTTCTTCCTTCCAGCTTGTGAACCCCTAAGTAATTTCCTGCTCTGCCAGCTGCCACGTGTTGATGGGTCTGTACTGTAGGCAGAACTCTCCCCCTGCGTTTACAAAGTGTCTTCTGTGGGCCCAGGGCTGCGCTCAGCCTTGGGGACATAAAGCTGCATTAGGAGCACATCTCTGCTTCAAGGAGCTTAGAGCCTCGCAGAGGAGGCCTCACGCGGACAGCAGGCTGCTCATCACTGCAGGGGCCCAGGGAGGAGCAGTGATCCTGCAGAAGCGAAAAAACAAACAGCCTGGGAGCCTGCTGGGGGGCGTTGCAGGTAGGACTAGCCCATGCTCAGGGGTGGCAGGCCTGGCCTTCTGTAACCTGTCCCTAAATGTTTCCCCAACTGCAGTAGCTGCCTTATGGTACAAAAGAAAGAACAGTAAAGCTCCCTTCTTCTTTATTTTCTATTTAAAAATCTGGAAATATGCCCAATGTGGTTGTGTTATGTCAGCTCTTTGCCCCGTTGGCTCCTGTGGCCGGCAGGTGAATGGCCCCATGGGGAGGAGAGCACCGGTGGGTGAGGCAGGTGGAAACAGGCATTTTGGTTGCAGTCTCTTTCCCATTGCCAGAATCTGGGCCCTTGTTGGCCCCTTCCTGTCCCACTGTCCCAGCTCGAGGGAGGACGGGCCACAGTGGCTCTCCTGAGCCAAAAAAGTGCCCAGCACTGGGTGATCAATGCCAAGCGGGTGCTGGAGGGGCAGCAGTCAGGTCCCATTTGCCCCAGGATTCAGGTGCTGTTAGTGTGGCCAGCCTCTGTCCCTCCCTCTCTCCCCTGAAGCTATGAGGCTCAGAGCATGGTGTTCACTCCTGTGTCAGAGACCCGCTGCCCCACAGGACCAGCTCTGTGACCTCTGGCAGGTCATTCAACCTCTCTGAGCCTCAACTTGCTCATCTGTGCAATGGGTATAGTATGACTAACCCATGAGAACCACTGGGCAGAAGTCAGCTCTCCCCGGGGAGGGCATTACCGTGATGACCATTATCACTGCCCCACGATGGATGTGCCAGCCAGAGGGGGAGAAGGAATATTCCCAGAAGCCAGTTGGTCCATTTATTGTCAGTGTGGCGAAAAAAACCAAGTTAGCGGGAAGAGGGGGAGGAGGACATTGTCCCTGAAGCTTCTGACTGATGTCCGGCTGCTACATCGTCTGTTTGCCAGGGAGAACCTGTGGCTGGGCACCGGAGGCAAGGTCTTCGGGAATATCCATAATCCCCGCCTTCCCTCAGCCAGGCTCCCCAGTCCCTGTGGCCAGGAGAGCGCTTTATTCTCCAAAGGTGACAGCTGCTCCCTGCTCCCCCTTCCCTCCCTGTCCCAAGAGGGTGCACCCTCCTATTCCCCACATCCCTACAAGGCAGCTCTGTGATTTCTCACTTTGGGACACTTCCCATGAACCTCAGCTCAGAGGCCGTGCTGGGCTTCCTCCAGGGGATAGTGAAGGCCAGGATTGACTAAGTGCTTTGATGTGACTCCCCCGCGCTGGGATGTGATCAGTGAGCCACAAAAACGGAGGGAGCTGCCAGAGCAGAGGTCCAGGGTGCGCGATCAGCCACCACAGACCGCAGGTGATTCATCCCATGGAACATGTGGCCATGATGAATATGGACGGACTATTGGGCCTGAATTCGATTGGCTTTGTTGTTCACAATATTGACAACTTCCTTCAGCCTCTAACCCACCAGTGATGAGCTTGTGCTCCCTGGATTATTCTCTGGGCATCAACCTGCAAAACACACCTGAGCCAGGGGCTCAGGATTCTCACCTGTGATTAGGAAAGCCCAGGCCCTACTGATGGGTGTGGTCAGAAACCCCTGATGAACTGGTAGGATCAGAGACCCATCTTTTTTTAAAGCCCCAAAGGAAAGAGAGAGAAGTATTTGTGTGAGACGCTGTCTTTGTGTTTTCTTTCCCGAGTCTCCTGAGCAGAATTTTATGAATCAAATTTGGATTTGAAAGTTTACCTTGGGACTTTCCTGGTGGCGCAGTGGTTAAGAATCCTCCTGCCAATGCAGGGGACGTGGGTTCGAGCCCTGGTCCAGGAAGATCCCACATGCCATGGAGCAACTAAGCCCGTCCACCATGACTACTGAGCCTCTGCTCTAGAGTCCGCGAGCCACAACTACTGAGCCCTTGCTTCGCAACTACTGAAGCCCGTGTGCCTAAAGCCCATGCTCCGCAACAAGAGAAGCCTGTGTATGGCAACGAAGGGTAGCCCCGCTCTCTACAACTAGAGAAAGCCTGCGTGCAGCAACGAAGACCTAACGCAGCCAAAAAAAAAGAAAAAGTTGACCTTGATTTACTTGATTTCTCCTCTCCTCCCACTGAAGAATGGAGTTTACATTTGCAAAGGGTGGTAAAGAATGAAGGGGCGGAAAATGTGACACAGACGGTTGTGGCCTGCAGTCTTCAGTATTTGCTGTCTGGCTCTTTCCAGAAGTTTGCAGACCCCTGATCTACATACTCAGGTTTTGTTTGCAGAGTAAAATGATGACTTAGGGCGGTGGTCCTCACACCCAAGCGTGTAGCAGAATCACCTGGAGCTCTGGTTAAAATGCAGATTGTGGGGCTTCCCTGGTGGCGCAGTGGTTGAGAGTCCGCCTGCCGATGCAGGAGACATGGGTTCGTGCCCCGGTCCAGGAAGATCCCACATGCCACGGAGCGGCTGGGCCCGTGAGCCATGGCCGCTGAGCCTGTGCATCCGGAGCCTGTGCTCTGCAACGGGAGAGGCCACGACAGTGAGAGGCCCGCGTACAGCAAAAAAGAAAACAAAAAACAACAATGATGGAGTCACTAGGCTTGATCGAATCAGATCAAATAGAATATTTAAAATGCAGATTGTGGCCCCTCCCAGGGTTTCTGATTCAGTTGGTCAGCGGGAGAATTTGTGTTTCTAAGGAGTTCCCAGGTGACAACATGCTGCTGGGCCAGGGACCACACTTTGAAAACCAGTGCCTCAGGCATTCACCAAGGGCAATCATCCTGTGGTCAGAACATAGTTAAATAAATAACGTAATCTCTTAAGGGTTTCTCAAATATGCCCATCTGAACCAGTCAGTAGGGTATTTTGTTGCGGGATGTTGCAGAAAGATGCAGAAACGCTGGGCAGCAGCCTTATCCCCACACACTATTTCTAATTAGTAATGGACAATTGTCTTAGCTGTGCGTGTTCCTTGATCGCTGATGTCAGTGCTCTGTGTTTGTCCAAAGATGTGTTAAACCTGGAGGTTTGGCGGTGTTAGTGTAGTACACAGACCGCCCCTGGGCATTTACCATCTGTTCTTGGAAAAGGATGACTTTCTTACTAGCTGTGTGTCCTGGGCACGTTACATTGACTGCTCTGGAATTTCTTTACCGGAAATATAGAGATAATAGAAGAATCTGTGATGTGGGGCTGTTGTGAGGTTGAATACTTGTAAGGAGCTTAGAATAGTGTCTGCGCATGCGAAGTACTATATGCACGTGTTTATTAGACACACTTACGTACACTTTTGCATGTTGGGGTCCCCGAGAGGTGGCCTGGGGCAGCACCGAGCAGCACAGGTGAGAAAGAGAAACGGGCCCACGACGACAGCATCAGAAAATAACATGTTGCATCCTGTTTGGACACTCTTGTTAAGCTTATAAATTGCTTCTGTCCAGGTAAAACTGGTTAGCATCGACGCGGCAGAAATAGCAGATGGCAACCCCTCTTTGGTTCTTGGGCTGATTTGGAACATCATCCTCTTCTTCCAGGTAAAATCATTTCTTTCTTGTAACACACGGTAATGATCTCCAGCGACACAAGAGTGGAGCTGGATGGAGGGAGACAGTGAGATTTCATTTCTAACAGATTTTGACTTTTCTGTTTCCTGGGAAAGAACTAGAAGAACCTGGTTGCTAAAGGTTTTGAATTCCTGTGATTCTAAAAGTGATGTGAGCTCTGTTCTCCTCTTGGTACTTGAAGAGTTACATATGTACTTGGAAAAGTAATTTTGTTCTGAAGTGTCACAACAGCTGGGGAATACTTCCAACCAAAAATTGAACTTGGTAGAGTTACTTTCCTAAAATGACTTGTGTTCATCAGAGATGGTTAAAGAGCCTGTACAAAGATAGCTCTAGGAAGAGGTGTGTGTGACAGGAAAGACCTTGTTTTTCCATCCTTAGCACCCTCAGCCTCTATCTGGAAATGCAGATTTTATAGAGCAAGGACAGGGTCTGTGGCTGGAGTATGAAGAGGATATTTCAAATTGTGCTCAAGTTCTTTTCCCTGAGTAGGATGGAGTAAGTTGATGTTTTATCTTCTAAAATCCCCCTCTTTTGAAATAGAAGATAATGGCTCGTTGCTTAATGGGTCTCCCAAGCGTAAAAATGATCTGCACAGAGGCTCATGCTTACATTTCAGAGAAGAATGAGCTCAAACAAGGCTTGGAGACAATAGCCCTGAACTTACAAAACCAAAGGCTCCCTCTGAGCCTCAGTTTCCACATCTGTGAAATGGTAGCAGTGGTCCAAATATGTGGTGGGCATCAAGAGATGCTACGTGGGAAAGCCCTCTGTCAGTTGTACAGTGTCATACAGGCTTTAGTTACTGATGTTTGTTCAACTCCCTGATAGACTGGAAACGTCCTGAAATGTGTAAAAAGTCCTTAACTCCACTCTGGATCGTCATTCATTTATTTGGTAAATGTCTAGTGAGCTTCTCCCGTGTGCCAGGCTCTGAGCATACAAAGTCTTGCTCTCATGACTTTCTGGTATCTCAGACAGGTCAGTCCCATATTATAGAATTCTGTGGTGCAGGCCATGATCAGCATATGAGCGGAGTGTTGTAAAAGCTCCAAGCTGGGGCAACTATCTCAGAGGGGGAAGGGGGGAGGGGAAAACTTCCTGGATAAAGTGACACCAGAGCAGGGTTTTAAAGGATGAGGAATTCACAAGACAAGTGTCTCTCAGACTTCATTGTGCATACCAATCACCTGGTATGGGGGTGGTATTGAAATGCAGAGTCTGATTTCGTAGGTCTGGGGCGGGGCCTGGGGTTCTGCATTTCTCACAGGCACCCCATGGTAAGAGCACATTTTGAGTAGCCAGGAGTTCAGTGTTGGAAGGGAGGGACATCCAGGCAGCAGGACCTGGGTGAGCATAGGTGGTGGGGCTTGAAACAGCATGATGCACTCTGGGAGCGATGGCCATGAAAGGATGGGGTAGGGGTAGGTGGAGTCAGGTCAGGAAGACCTCATCTGCAGCCTCTGGCCAGAGCTAAAGAGACTCCAGGAAGAGATGATTTTCCCTGCAAAGCATCACTGCACGCACCACAAGCCACAAGAAACATCCAGGCCATCATGAGTACTGACCCCCGACCCCTGACCCCCTGACACACGACCCTCAGGAAGGGGTTTCTCCCGATCTGGAGAACCAGTTCTGCACAAGCTGGTCCCTCCAGCCGGGGTCCACGAGGGACCGTGCTGGGTCTGCCTCCAGGGTCTGAAATGCCGTTTTCCTTCCAGATTAAAGAACTCACCGGCAACCTCAGCAGAAATTCTCCATCTTCCAGCCTGTCACCCGGCTCGGGGGGCACAGACTCAGACTCCTCCTTCCCACCCACGCCCACTGCAGAGAGGAGTGCGGTGATATCGGTGAAAGACCAGAGGAGGGCCATCAGGACGCTGTTGACATGGGTGCAGAGGAAAACAAGGAAGTAAGCCGCACGACCTGTGCCCCAGCACCCCGTGCTCTGCCAGGCAGGGGGAGGAGGGCTAAGAAAAAGGGCATCATCACCGTTTACTCAGTTATGTGCCCGGCGCTTCACGTAGACTCTCAGAAAAGGGATCCTGTCAGTTTCTGCTTCTGCACACAAAACTGTACTCACCCCGTGTTTGGTTTGCAGAAAGCTGGTGATAGAATTGGAATAGAAATCCCAGGGGCCTTCAACACACTAAATCCCAGTGTGGGGATGGCCCTTGGATCCTAATAACGTGGACACATTTATTATTAAGCTTCTGGGTATCTTTCAGAGTCTGTACCTACTTAAAAACGAGTAACAATAAAGGCTGCAACCTATCAGAGTCAGGTCTGGCCCTTCCAAAACTGAGACAGGTGAACTGGAACCAAGTTCCTGGCCTTCTGTTTAACCTCTTCCAGACTGGGGAGAGCCTGGTGAATCTCTTACCTTTCTAAGCTGCATCTGTAAGACGGTGACTTACCATTCACCCCCTTATGGGAGAGTTGGGGTTAAATGAAATAAACCCTGTGAAAGCACCTTGCAGAGTACCAGCACTTAGTAAGTGCTCAGCAGCGGATCCTGGCTCCCCAGTGTATGGAAATAAAAGATGAGAGAGAAGTTGGGTCTTTGGGGGTTTTGATTAAGGGGTTAAGCGTGATCGAGTTGATTAATGTGAGCAACCAGTAAATGGTATTTTAAAATAAATTTATTTTATTTATTTTAAAATTTATTTTAAAATAAATCAAGTGAGCTCATTGCCAGGAGTTAGGGTGGCTATAACAGAGAGGAAGGGCCTTTGCAGGGAGTAGAACAGTCTGTATCGCCATTGTGGCACTGGTCACAGGAATGGGTGCTTGTGACAAAATGTCACGGCACTTACACCGTCCCCGTGACACTGAAGCCAATGAAATCCTAATTCGGTCTGTGGTTGTAACAGCCCTGTACCTACGTCGGTGCCCCGGTTCTGATTAACACACGCCGGTAACGCAGAATGCTGCTGTTGAAAGAAGCTGGGTGAAGGGTCTACAGGGGCCCCTTGTACTGCTGTTGCAACTTCTTATGAATCTCAAATGATTTCTAAACAACAGGATTTTTTTTTTTTTTTGCGGTACGCGGGCCTCTCACTGTTTGGGCCTCTCCCGTTGCGCAGGCTCAGCAGCCATGGCTCACGGGCCCAGCCGCTCCGCGGCATGTGGGATCTTCCCAGACCGGGGCACGAACCCGTGTCCCCTGCATCGGCAGGTGGACTCTCAACCACTGTGCCATCAGGGAAGCCCCAGGATTTTTTTTTAAAGAGAGTTCAGGGATCACAGTTGAGAGACTGACGGGGCCGGATATGGTCTCAAGAGATGGAGTCCAAAGGAAATTAGTGCCTGGCAGGATTATCTATCTTTGTCACTTTTAATGTTCTGATTTTATTTATATTAATCATGACGTTAGCTGTCCCTTAGTGAGTGGCTTTCATGTGCCATCTGCATTGCACATTAGATTGTCCACGTGACATGGCCATTTTGGGGGATTCAACCTAATACTTGCCCATGACAGCTGCCCTGTTTTATAAATGAGTTTGAGGCTTAGAAGGTATGTGACTCAAGGCCACAGCACTGGAAGCACAGTGGGGCAGCCGGAATGTGAACTAGTGTCTTTCTGGCTCCATTTTTTTACACAACACATCTATGTTTGCTGCATTTTGAACATCACTGGTAAAAGGAACAGTGTATAAAATGACTCCTTTATATATATGTGTGTATAAATATGTATATATCTGGGAATTGGGAAACACAAATTTCTGTTATGTCTCCTCGTGTGATGTACACCTTCCTATCCTGTTTGTCTGGAAGTGGAAATACCTATGGTTCAGTGCAGCTATCCCAATCCTCAGGGCCTGGGGCATCTTGGCCTCCCCAGGTCAGCAGCTCCCAGCCCCGCTCGGAGGCCAGCGAGGCATCCCCGAGTCTGCTTACTGACCTGCACTGAGGCTGCTCCTTTTCCTCAGGTATGGCGTGGCGGTGCAGGACTTTGCAGGCAGCTGGAGAAGCGGGCTGGCTTTCCTGGCAGTGATCAAGGCCATCGACCCCAGCCTGGTCGACATGAAGCAGGCGCTAGAAGACTCCATGCGGGAAAATCTAGAGAAGGCTTTCAGCATCGCTCACGACGCCCTTCACATCCCCAGGCTCCTGGAGCCAGAAGGTAGATGTGGTTCTCTCTCTTTCTCTTTCTTCGTTTTATATATATATATTTTTTTTACGTATGTAACACCTGCTGTCCAATCTGGAGAATACAGAAATATCTAATGAAGTCATTTTTATATCTCCTGTATTCCTGCCACTGAGATCATTTTCCCAGTATTTTTCCTTACATCTAATTACAATTTTTTTACCTAATTGGGATCATTCAGTGTATGTATGGTTTTGTATCCTACTTTTTTTAAACCTAATGTTATAATTGTGACATAAGTATGCTGATAGGAGGTCCCCATTACATATTTTTACTGGCCGCATAATGGTCCATTTAGTGGGTGCACCAAAATTTACTTAGCTCTTTACTACTGGTGGACATCGAGGTTGTTTCAGAATAGTCATGTTTATATATAACGCTGCAATGAACATCTTATTGGTTAAAGCTCAGTGTGCATCTCAGATTATTTCCTCCAGGACCAGGTCCCAACAGCGGAATGAATGACACAGCTAGAAACTACACACCTTTTTAGGGCACTTGGTTATCTCTGTCAAATCGCCTTCCGTGTGGATTAGGCTAACGTAGGACTCCCTCTGGCAGTGAGTGGGGGTCCCAGCTCAACAGACTAGCTGATGGGGCAGGCAGTGAGCTGGCTGCTGGCAGGGAGGGACTAAGACAGTAGGGAACGACAGAATCTTGGGTGCAAGGAGAGCTGGAGTCTTCATTCCACCTTCTCTGCTCATCAGCCACTTGTGAGGCTTCACTCAAATCATTCCCCTTCTCTGGGCCTAGATTTCCTGAAGTGTACAATAAAGAGAAAAAACCTCCCTGGTCTGTGGGATCCTTCGCCATCAAGCATCCCAAGATCCCATGTAAAAACCACGTGTTCTTGTTGGTGGGAATGTAAATTGGTGCAGCTCTTATGGAAAACTGTATGGAGGTTCCTCAAAAAATTAAAAATAGACAATCATGTGATCCAGCAAACCCTCTACTGAATATATATCCAAAGGAAATGAAATTTAAAAAAACAACAAAAATAAACCAACCACCTCAGGAATTCCCTGGCAGTCTAGTGGTTAAGACTCAGTGCTTTCACTGCTGTGGGCCTAAGTTTGATCCCTGGTCAGGGAACTAAGATCCCACAAGGCACACTGCATGACCAAAAGCCCCCCCAAAACAAAAAAAAAAGCCCCCCCCAAACCCCCCAAACAAACAAAACACAAACAAAGGAAATGACATTGCAATCTTGGAGAAATATTTGCACACCAGCGTTCACTGCAGCATTATTCACGATAGGCAAAGCATGGTAACAACCGACGCGTCCATCAGTGGATGAAGAGGTAAAGAAAATGCTGTGTGTATGCACGATGGAATATTATTCAGCCACGAAAAAGAAAGAACTCCTGCCATTTACCACAGCACAAATGAACCTGGAGGACATTATGCTGAGTGAAGTAAGCCAGGCACAGAAAGACAAATACTACATGATCTCACTTATACGTGGAATCTGAAAAAGCCAAACTCATAGAACCAGAGAGTATAAGGGTGGTTACCGGGGGCTGGGGGTTGGGGGTGGGGTGGGAAAGTAGGGAAATGTACAAACTTTCAGTTATAAATGAATAAGTTCTGGGGAGTCTAACATACAGTATGGTGACTATAGCTAATAGTACTGTATTGTGTACTAGAAATTTGCTAAGGGAGTAGACCTTAAGGTTTCTCAGCACACCAAAAAAACCCAAAAAACAAAAAAGGTAACTCTGTGAGGTGATGGATGTGTGAATTAACTTGATTGTGGGAATTATTTCACAATGTATATGTATGTCAAGCCATCATGCTGTACACCTTAAATATATACAATTTTCATTTGTCAATTATACCTCAATACAGCTGGAAAACAATTTTTTAATTCAAAATGTCTTAAATAAATAAAATAAAAACCGTGTTTTGCGTGTCCTTCTAACTCCTGTGTCTCTCTTAACAGACATCATGGTTGACACGCCAGACGAGCAGTCCATCGTGACTTACGTGGCTCAGTTTCTAGAACATTTCCCGGAGTTGGAAGCCGTATGTCTGTTTTCCTTACCTATAATTCAGAAACCAACATTTCCATCAGCTGGCCGTCCCACGGAGCTTGGGGTTCGGGCTGTGTTGTTCTGTGTGACAGCTGTAAGGATCAAAACTCGATCTCAAGCGCTTTGCCGCTTACTCATTTCAAAATCATAGATAACGTGTATGACATTTAAAAGCAGAGTGGGAAGCTAGGCACACCTCTTACAAACCTCTTCCCATCCCAGACTTTATTAAGATTAGAAGAGATGCCCACTTGTAATATGAATCAGCTACTTGATTTTCTAGATGCAGATGGAACCTTTTAGCAGTCTACCAGATTTTATCAGAATGTGAAAAATTCTCATAGACAATGACCATTCAAAAGCATGCCTTTTTATTTTCAGAATCTGAGTATACTTGGTGACAGAGTGTTTGGAGCAGAATCAGACCCTTTAGAAGTTGTCATGGCTCTGTTGAATCTCCAGCCAACCCGTGCATAAGCCCTAGATGATAATAACGATGATCACAAGGATAACAACGGTCCTTTACTGAATGTATTGGAAATCTGCTGAACACCTACTGCTGGCTCGGGGGAACTTAGCAATAAGCAAGATGGATGAGGTCCCTGACCTTTTGTAGCTTTGTTCTAGTAGAGGAAACAGTTGACAAGTCCGCGAACATGTCATCATTTCAGGTAGTTAGACGTACTAGACAAAAAAGAGAAAAGCATAAAGAGCTAATACTTGCAGGGAGAATGGGCCACTCTTTTAGCTGGAGGCTTGTCAGGTAACCATCCCTTGTGTCTCTGGGCTGACTGCCACCTCTGCGATTCCACTTGACTTGGTATCATTATTTCCACTTTGTAGAAGAGAAAACAGATACTCTAAGAGGCTTAGCTTAAAGAGCTCTCCAGGGTTGCCCAGCTACCAAGTGTAGAGCTGGGGTTTGATCCCAGTTCTCTGTGGTTGCAAAGTTCAGGCTTTTAGATTCCTTACAACGTATGCTGAAACTGAGACCCCATTTTGCATAGCTCAGAAGAGCCAGACTGGGTCTTCCCCAGGATGTGGCTCTCATTCCAGTCCCTACCTATGTGTGTGTTTCCCGTCTGTTTCTGGCCCACAGATCACTTTCCAGGGTACTTTAGAAGCAGGCATTCCACGGGCTGGAATGTCAGTTCTTCCACTTGAAGCTGTGTGACCTTGAGCCGCTTTCTTAACCTCTCTGATACATGTCCGTATGAGATGCCATCTGTAAAATGGAAAGATGACCCACGTTTCAGAGTTACGTGAAGAATAAATAGATACATAAAGCACTTACTCCTGTGCGTGGCACAGCAGTTGATGCCCAGAAAATGGTGGTGATATTATTTTGCAATTTAATCTTCATAGGTCATTACTAAATTCTGAAATACTAGGCACCAGGGATTTTATTAGCCCTGAGCTCTAAAGCTGTAGGCAGAGTTTAAAATTAACTAAAATTTATGATATTCGTGTGAGTCAAGGTCACGGCCAGGATTCAGCAGATCTGACACTTGGATCTCCCCAGTGCTGGGGTCAGAGACTAGGGCTGGGGCAAGAGAGGTTGAACAAGATACGATACCTGGAGTAGGTCATCCTGACGCATGGGACACAGGGCATCACCACAGAACAGCCCATTGACATCCCCGGGGATACAGATGAGCCATCCCAGCGAATCTAGACTCCCATTAAACCGCTGTTTTTTGTAAGCTTAACAATTCAGCTGAGTTTAGTACATTTCAGTAAACATTCGTTAAGCCCTGACTGCGTACCAGACACTGTGCCTGGCTTTATGGCCCGACATATGGTTTATTTGGGTAAACATACCATATGCACTTGCAAAGAATGTGTCTTGTGCAGTGAAAGTGTTGACAGTCTTTAAATATCAATTAGGTTGAGTTGGTTAATATGCTGTTCTAATATCCTATGGACATACTGACTTTTTTTTTTTGCTTTTCCTATCAGTGAGTGTGAGGGAGAAAAGTTAAAAATCTCTGACTTATGATCGTGGATTTGTTGCGCTTCTTACTTCTGTCAGCTTTTGCTTTATGTATGTGGAAGCTCTGCCACACATGTATACACATTTAGGACTGTTGTCTCTTCCTGACGGCATCATCATGTTATTTTTATTTTATTTTGTCTTGGAGTGTCCTTGGTCTGGCAGGAATATAGCCATACCAACTTCCTTATGATTCGTGTTTGTGTGATACATCTTTTTCCATCTTTCTCCTTTCAGAGTATGCTTATGTTTAAAGCACGTCTCTTGCAAATAGTATGGAGTTGGGTCTTGTTTTTTTGTTTGTTTTTTTTTTGCCATACGCGAGCCTCTCACTGTTCTGGCCTCTCCCGTTGCGGAGCACAGGCTCCAGACGCACAGTCTCAGTGGCCATGTCTCATGGGCCCAGCTGCTCCGCGACACGTGGGATCTTCCCGGACCGGGGCACGAACCCGTGTCCCCTGCATTGGCAGGCGGACTCTCAACCACCGCGCCACCAGGGAAGCCCATGGGTCTTGTTTTTTTATCCATTCTGACAAGAATTAGTGTGGCATTTTATTAGTGCATTTTTTTACCATTTACTTCACATAATCTACCATCTTGATTGTTGTTTTTTATTGGTCCTATCTGTTTTATGTTCCTTTGTCCTTCCTTTCTAACTTTTTTTCTGATTATTCAATTACTTTTTTGGTTTCCATTTTATCTCCTCTGTTGACTTTAAAACAACATCTCCTTGTTTTATCTTTTTAGTAGTTTTCCTAGGGGTTATGATATTCATCTTGAACATAACTCAGTCTACTTTGGATTACTATAATACAACATTAAATAAAATACATATTTATATATTTTTATATATGCAACTACGTCATTCCACTCACCTCTTCTCCATTCCTTTGTGCTGTTATTGCCACTGACTTTCTTCTGCATATGTTTTAATCCTCAATGCTGTGTTATTATTTGTGCTTTAAACAGGAGACTTTTTAAGAAAACTTTTTAAATAGTCTTTTATATTGGCCATACATTTACCATTTCAGGTACTTTTCATTCCCCCCTTCAGCACCAGGCTTTCATCTCTGATCCTTTCCTTCAGCCTGAAGAAAAACCTTTGTATTTCTTGTAGTATAGGTTAAGCAGTTATTTTAGACTCTTTATTTCCTAGTTCTAACCCCAAGTTATCTTTGGGTCTACTTCTAATGACTATTGTTTCTCCTGATTATGGGTCTCTTCTCTTGCTTATTTGTGACTTAAATTTTTTTTATTTTATGCCAAATCTGGTGTATAAAGGAGCAGTACAGTTGAGGTAGATGACATTTTTCCCCCAGAGAATATAGCCCTTGCCCAAACATGGACCTATAATGAGGAGCTGATCATTTTGACCTTCTCAGGAGCTGATAAGGGCTCTGTTGAAGTTTTGTTTAATTTCAGCCCTCCAGTTTCAAGCAATTGTATAATGAGGTCAGTCCACCCTCCCTACCAGTGCATTGGGAGCCACGCTCTGCAGTACCACCAAGATTGCTCTCTGCTTTTCAGCCCTGCTCTCAGCTGCTGCATCTTTTTGTTTCTAACTGAAGTGTAGTTGGTTTACAATGTTATGTTAGTTTCTGGCGTACAGCAAAGTGATCCAGTTACATACATATATTCTTCTTCATATTCTTTGCCATTATGGATTATTACAAGATATTGAATATAGTTCCGTGTGCTATACAGTAAGTCCTTGTTGGTTATCTATTTTATATATAGTAGTGTGTATATATTTACCTCAAACTCCTGATTTATCCCTCCCTTGCCTTTCCTCTTTGGTAACCATAAGTTTGTTTTCTACGTCTGTGGGTCTGTTTCTGTTTTGTAAATAAGTTCATTTGTATCATATTTTAGATTCCGTGTATAAATGATATCATATGGTATTTGTCTTTGTCTATCTGCCTTACTTCACTTAGTACGATAATCTCTATGTCCATACATGTTGCTGTCAGTGGCGTTATCGCATTCTTTTTTATGGCTGAGTAATATTCCATTGTGTGTGTGTGTGCGTGCGTGTGTGTGTGTGTATACACCACATCTTCTTTATCCATTCCTCTGTTGGTGGACACTTAGGTTGCTTCCATGTCTTGGCTATCGTGAATAATTCAGCTGCATCTTACTTAGCAGAAGTCTCTGTGTGGGAGAATTAGTATATGAAGAGAACTAGTTTTGTGTTTGGGCCCCTTCTAGATTCAATCTCTCACGCCAGCCCACACAATCAATAGATATTTAGCTGATCTTTCCTCATCTCGGATGAGTTCGCTCTCCTGTCCATACCCAGACCAGGCAGTGGCCCACAGGTATGAACTCACGGACAATCTCTGCTCACTTAGGAAGGGCTCATCCTTCTCCAGAGTTCAGTTCATTGATATGTCTTTGCAGCCATAGCTTTAAAAAAAAAAAACACATTCTTTTAAACTTTGGTGTTCTTACATTTCAGCAGGAACAGTAGTCATTTGCCAGTCTACATCTGCATCAGAACACTTCCATTCCTTCTGAAGTGCTTTTTCCACTTTGGTGTTTGTGTTTTGAGAGGGGACGCCGCGTGACACTTAGACGCTCTGCTGATTTCACGTTGCCCTGTATTTCTTGGCAGGAGGATTTTGCGGATTCCGACAAAGAAGCCCCTATTGAATCCACCTTCGTTCGCATCAGAGAAACCCCTTCTGAACAAGAGAGCACCGTCTTCTTTCTGACTGAGAACGGGGAGCGTGCCTACACCGTCAACCACGAAACGAGCCACCCGCCACCCTCCAAAGTCTTCGTCTGTGACAAGCCTGCGGGCGTGAAGGAGCCCTGCGTTACCAGCCGGGAGCTGGCAGACAGCTACTCTGAGTTCACGCACCAGATCATTGACCAGGTTCTCCAAGGGGTCCCAGGGAAGATCAACAGCACCGGCGAGCTGGCTCCAGAATCTTCCATCTTATCATCCAGAAAGGACAGCCAGAGGTCCACCTCTCTGCCAATCAAGAAAACTGTGCACTTTGAGGCTGACACCTACAAGGAGGCCTCCTGCAGTAGGGACCCTTTCTACAGTCCAGACCTTCACTTCGAAGGAAGCCCAAGAGAGACCAAGGAGTCGTCCAAGCAGGACGGACAGGTCTTGGCAGCTGAGGTTGCTGAGGAAACACCGAAACAGGAGGCCCTGGAGATCCTGGAAGCAGCCTCCAGTGAGGCCCCCAGCGACGTGTCTTCAGTGGATGGTGAGGTCAGTCATCCTCCGACTTCCCAGACCTCTCCCTCCTGGAATGGGGCGTCGGAGAGGGCAGCTGGCCCAGGGGAAGAGGGCCGTTCCCCGTCATCCCTGGGAGAGGATACCATTGTAGCCGATTCCATGGAGATCGAGGTTAAGCTGCTGACTGTAGAAGCTATGGATAAGGAAGACTCTTTCGAAGGCATACCATTAAAAGCCTCGAAGTTTAACAGCGACCTCGTAGATTTTCCCTCCACCAGCCAGGCTTTCCACGAGGTTCCTTCGCCTCATGAGAAAAAACCTGCCGAGGAGGAGGCGTCCGAGGATCGTGCTGAGAAGTTGCGTAAAAGGAGAGGTAAATCTGCCCACAGGGAGACGGATTTGGATGAGCCCCCCGTGAAGCCCAACCAGCAGGAACCTCACAAGGACCCTGGACCAGAAGACCAAGGCTCTTCTTTGGAGGCACCGGTGGATAAAAAGCCAGAAGTGTATGAAAAGGCCAAGCACAAGTCCCCCCGGCGCCGTCGGGGTGAGGAGGGAGGGGAAGCCGAGGGCCCGCGGGGCCTTGGGGGAGAATTGCCTTCCAATCCAGCCAACAGCAGCAGCAGCTTGGAGACCCTCCGCAGCCCCAGCGAAGAGGGCCTGGATTTCGAGCCGTCTCCACCGCCCTCCAGGATCTCCATCATCCCCCATGACCTTTTCTACTACCCGCATTATGAGGTTCCCCTGGCTGCAGTTTTGGAGGCTTATGCAGAAGGCATGGAGGATTTGAAAAACGAAGAAGTGGACCTCGAAGAGCCAGAGGGGTATCTGCCGGACGCGGGGGCCGGGGAGGCCGAGGCCTCCCAGAGCAGCTGCAGCTTCGCCGGGCGGGGCAAGGGCCACCCCCAGGCCAGCATCGTGGAGGATGCCAGACCAGCCTCGGAACCCGGTCCCCCGTCCCCGCAGGAGGACCACCAGCCAAGTGAGGACGCAGAGAGTGTCCCCGTGCAGGGCCACCAGGTACTTGACTGCGGGTGCGGGAACGCTGAGTGGGGAATTCTGTGCTTCTCCTAAGCTCGGCTTCTTCCTCCATAAAACGGAGAAAGGCAGCTTCCCTCACAGGCATCCCAGGTCCAGAATTTAAGGAGACACTCACTCAGGCTCGGGCAAGGTCAGGGTTAGCACCGGAGAGGAACACTTGTCGTCAATTTTGCACCCTGGGTGTCTCGCTGGCCTCCCCCTAGTCTGGGCCCTGCCCACAGGCTGCCAAGGAGATCAGATGAGGCCATGCTTGAGGTGCTTGAGGGTCCAGCACAGTAGTAGCAGAAATCCTTTTAAGTAGTGATCGCAGCTCTACCTAGCGCGCACTTAGCGAACCCAACCCCGCGGCAGCCTGAGAAAACCAGGCCAGACCTCACACTGGACTCCAGCCTTGATTTTTAAAGGGCTTTTGCTTGTTGAGCACTATTGTTTGGCTCCTGTGGTTAGAAGTGGGTTGTGTAAACAGGGCAAGGCGGACGCGCACTTCTGAGCTGGGCCAGCTGGGCACGTGCTCCTCTGCCACCTCGTGTCTCCACGTCATCTGGCCCAGCAGCTTCAGAGGGGCCCCCCCCAGAGTGATCATTGAGAGGGTGTGGGGAGCCCTGACTGCATGTCCCTCTGGGTCCCCCTCCCCACCCTCCCCTCCGGACAAGCCCACCTCCTCCCTGCCTCCCAGCCTGCCTCTGGGCTTTGCTGGAGCTGGTCGCCCCATCTGGACGCCCTTCCCCACACTTGGCTTGGCGAGCACTTACTCCTCTTCAAAGCCCAATGCCAACAGCATCCCCTCCCGGGAGCCTGCCCAGCTCCTCTCCAGGCAGCGCAGCCACTCTTCCATTTATAGTGATAACATTCTCGATGGTTCTGTAGTGGACTGCTGCTGCTTTCGTGGGTTGTGATTTTCTCTCCTGGGAGAGAGTGAGCATTTGTGTATTGATCTCTGGGCTCCAGAGGCCAGCCTGACAGGAAACAAGGTGCACTGCATGACAGTTTGGGGTATCGGGTGAGGGCAGGTAAATTAAACCCTGAGGTGCTGGAAAGTCAGGACAGGACCCAGCGGAGGCCCAGAGGTGCTCGGAGGAGTGAGAAAGCCTTGCCCTGGGGAGGCTGCAGGAGAAGGGGAATCTGAGTAGACTTAAAAGGCATTTAGGATTTAGATGGGCCAGAAGTGGTAGCATCATTTATGGGTCTGCCAGCTCCAGGCAGTGGGGAGTAGCTGCCCGAGTACTGGGAGGCCTCAGAGTTCTCTGGCACTAACAGTCCAGAAGCCACGTGTGGCCGGACCTATCCTTTGGTGCCGAGCACCCATTCTCTGTCCGTCTTCGGCTGGAGAAGAGGGCTGGGTGGCTCCATAGGTGCGAGAGACCTGCCTGCCACCTTCCCCTTCTGCCCAGGGGCAAGGAACCTAGTCCTGTCCCCTGCCCCTAGCCCTCTGTCTGCTGTCTGTCAGAGCAGGCTTGTCCTGTGGGAGACCAGAAGATCCGGCGGGTTGAGAAATGCCCCTCAGTGACATCAGGTCTCGGGGTCCCCAGGTTGGGGGATGACAACAGCAACTGGGGTGATTCTCTGGATTATTACAGGCCGAAAAGCTCTTTTAGAACAAAAGAAAAGGGACTGGGATTGGGGAGAGCCTGAGTTGCCTTTCTGCCCCTCTGTGTGACTTAGAATGGCCAATGAGCGCCTAAGTTCCCCTCCCCCAGTGATGGAGTGTGGCCTGTGGGCACGCGGATTAGGCATCCGACGAGCAGGTGCCCACTGCTCCCAAGCGCACCTTGCCATTGGCTCCCGAGTATAGCCCTAGCCTTGATCCCTGTGAGTGAGCGGGGCGGGGGAGGGGAAGGGGTGCAGCCCAGGATGACTTGCCTCCTGGCAGAGAGGATGACGGGGTGGAGAATTTCTCCGATACCTGGCCCTTCTTTAAAAAGAAAAGAGAAAACTATCTTCTAAATGGACTAGAAAATGGCAAGTTCTACTTCCAGTCTTTAAGAAAGTAAGTCCTCTCCTCACTTCACCTTTCAGAAAAGGTAGCATTTGCTCATTGATAATGGAGGAGCAGCTGGCCTTTCAGATTGCTGAGAGCGGGTTTTAATTTCTGCAGGGAGCTTTGTTCTCCTGGGCTGCACTGGCCGGCCACTCTGATCCCCTTATTGGGACACCTGTTGAGCAGGTTTTTCCAGCCCCTGTGAGAATTCTTGAGAGGTGCTGCCAACAATTCTCACGCTTCTCGATTTCACGTGGGAGCATCGCTGGTGGGTTTCAGAGTGCCTGGGGGCGGGGGCAGGTGGAGGTCAAAGATTCCTTATCGTATAAATGCTACAAAGGTGGCACTACCATACACCTTCGGCCAAAAGCACGGTGAAGATACATCTCTCCAAACACAGGAGCCACCTTCACACCCCTTGGCCCACCTGGCCTCTAGGATTTGTTCCTCTGTTTAAGTGGATGATGGTTGTGTGAAGGGTCCAACCATTGTCCACTGTGAGGCACATCCTTTATAGGAAGCACTGTGGTATAGTGGGAAGAGGCTGATAATCATTATACCCATTTGACAGACAAGGAAACCAAGGATCAGAGAGATAGTCAGTTGCTCAAGGTCAGATAGCTGACTTAGCCAGGATGTGAAACCAGGTCTTACTGACTGTAAAACCCATGCTGTTTTCGATCCATCAGTCTGGAGCATTTGGAACTCTGCCCGGGGAGCAGCAGTTCGGGTGGGCTTCTCCTCCATGGTGGGCTGTGCTGGAAGGAACCCATGGAAGAGGCAGGATTGGAAGGGGCGCCCTAGCTGGGCCTCGGAGTCAAGGTGGAGCAGGGCGCTGCCGGGTGGCGTCACGCACTCAACATCTCAGCGTAAAATTCTGATTTGTGTTTGGTTGTCATATCCTTCAGTCCCAGGAGTTTCCAAACTCGGAAAACTTAGCAAACCCATTAGAAGAAAAGGTAATGGAAGAACCGATCAGTAGTAAAAAAAAGGAAAAAAGAAAACATGTGGACCACGTAGAAAGTTCAATATTTATAGCACCCGGAACTGTTCGCTCCTCAGATGACCTGGAAGAAGACACCTGTGACCACAAAGTCCTTTCCAGGTATTTTATTAACAACTTCTCACCCCCGATGCTGAGCTGGGAAGCTACTCTCTGAACTCATCCCATTTCTGGTTTCTGATTGGATGGGGGACGCAGGGGTGGGGCTGGACAGCAAGGGAAACAGATTCAGGCAAAGTCCTCATTCTTCACACCTGGGCTCCCCCACTGACCTCCCCCCGCCATCCCGCCCCCAACCAATATCAGACCTGCCCGTAATCGGCAAAACCAGAAGGACTTGAACTTTGCCTTCTCTCCTCGCTCCACGTAGCTTCGGGTGGAAACTGGCAGGGAGCAGAGAGGTGGCTGAACCGTAGGTAGGGGTGGGGTATGAAAAGTAATAGCCTTGGAGACTCTGCCGGCCGTCTCTGGCCCCTGATAACCTCCGGTCAGTCTAGGTAGAGACCAAACTTAGCCGTTTATAAGCATCTTACAGGATCAGAAGGGAGGCACTGGATACGCGTGGAGGGGACCATTTATCACTGTCGCATGGAAGCTGGACTTTAATATGACCGCTTCACCCACGAGTTTGGGTCCAAGGCAGTAAGGGTGGAAACTTGAGGAAACTAACATGACTGTCTCTGTATCAGGCCCATTCACATGCAACACCTCTTTCTCCTGTGGAGCAATAGGGCAGGGCCACTTTGACCTGCAGTAGGCTAGTATCCCCACCAGCTCCATGAAGTAGGTAGGGTGGGAATGATGATCCATTTCACAGATAAGGAAAACTGATCAGAGATGTAAATATTTGACCAAGGTTGCCAGTTAATCAACCAGGAGCCAGGATGACAGCCCAGGCCTCTGGTTGGGTATCTTTTTGCCTTAGCCCCGAGTGAGCCAGCTTTATTGGAAGATCAGAGAAACACATCAGCCTCAAAGATATAGTCAGAAAATTAGCCTCCTCGTGTATGAAAGGAAAAGAGGTGGTCCACCCAAGAGCTAGGCAGTCAGCAGCATTGTGCACAGCAGGAAGCACTGAAAAGGGAGTCCAGGTCCCAGGTCTCAGCCCAGGTCTGACTTTAGCTTGCAGAGGACGTCTGGTGAGTCCCAAGACTTCGGGATACTTAGAAAAAGAGACCCTTTCCTGCCCCCAAATCCTATGATTTTTAAGAATATGTGGTCTGCTTTCTATTTGAAATTCTTTCTCGCTGTTTTCTTTTTTTTTTTTCTTTTCTTGTTGACGAGGGCTCAGTGTGTCCCTTTCACATCATCCTGCTGTTTGTAAACACACTCCACCCCGAGTGGGTCTACTGGATACCATGTCTCATTTCCATCACTAGGTCAGAAATCAGAGCTTGCCTAAATCCACATGTGGCAGCCTCAGGATGGGGGCAGCAAGAAGTTCTTGGTGGCACCAATTCAAAACGTGTCTTTATTTTGCAGGACAAGTCACAGTGACTCCAGCATTTACGTTCGACGACATGCTAATAGGTCTTTGGAACCGGTTAGTATGTGAATTTCTTCTTCTTTCATCCGGCCCCTGCTAATCAATTCCTTTCCATCCTTCCTCCTCCCCAGCCCAGAGCTTTGAAATTACTGACTTGCAACAGCTATGCTTTGGGATAGAAGACAAGCAAATTGAAACCTTGTCAGTAAGCATAGTCCAATCAGATGTCCAGTTTGGGCAATAGGGGATGTAAATAAAGTGATGATTTTAAAGCCCAAAGGCATCTTTGTCATAACAAACGCATCCAAGACCCCACCCCTGCACACACGTCCAGAAAGATCACGTTCAAAGACAGAGGTGCCACATAAGCAGAGGGTTCGCTTTGTCTTCGCAACCACTTAGCTGTGGATGTGTTGGGACCCAAAGCCCTGGGATCCACAGCTTGCCCTGATTCGGGTTGTTATGGGGGAGGGGAGCCTTCCGTCCGCCCGTGGGAACGACGTAGAATACTGTACAGTCATTTTACTTTGGAACTAGATGTTCGCAAGATTGAGAAAATCATGGCATGCTCGACTTCGTACGTTTAAGATCATTTCATTTTCTGTTTCAGAGATTTCATCTTTACTAATTGGGTTGCGGGGTTTTGTTTATGAATCTCACTGTAGGATCATTTTAGCTATGCTCAGTTGAGGGACACAGCAGACCAGGATGACAGAAGAAACCGAATGTTAACCAGGTAGGTGGCGGTAGTCCAAGCTTGGGGGGGCTGAAAAGGATATTTTTTCTTTAAGTTTGCAGCCTACCTTCTGCGGGGGGGGCTATTCTCCAACAGGGCTGTGTTCGATAACAGTATTAATAGTCTGGGCTCATGCAAGAAAATACCCGTTCCGGAAAAAATGAATGGAAATTGAATATGAGTGGGAGGGGAAGGTAGATATGAATTCATGTTGATGGGCAGGGCATGGTTCAGAAAATGACTCGGTTTAAAGACAGGTCTGGGTCATGAGCCTGTGGCTGTATTTAGATGACACAGTGGTATAAGCTGGCCCTCCGAGGCAGAGCCAGGCAGAAGAGGTAGGGACGGGATACTGTGTGTGTTCTAAACGCTGTAGCCCCTGACAACTGTGTTCATTCCGTGTCACCACTGCAGGTACAATACTCAGAAGCTCACTGAGCTGATTTTACAGTTTTATGACATCAGAACAGACATGAAGAGGGAATGCAAACATGCCAGGATGTCTATGAAATTATTTCTTACTGTTGGAGAACTAAGTGACCTAGACTAAGAGTGTCGAATTGCTCTAACACCGCCCGTTTAGAACATAGGCAGAGAAATCTAAAACTCTGACAACTCTGAGATGCCCCTATCTCTGTTAAAGTTATTGAATCACTTAATTTAATTGATTTTTTAAAAAATATTTGCCACGGATTTGAATTGGCTTGGGAGGACTTAGATTATTGGAATGGAAAGAGCTTGTCTGAAAATTGCCCAACACCCAGGAGTGTAATCTTTACAAATCCACCTGTCTGGCTACTAAAAAAAGAGGCAAGATTTGTTTCCCTCCCCTGCCGTAAAATGGAAATATTAATTCACGTTTTCCACCAGGTTTGACATCCTGATAGGAAAATAGTACTTTTAGCTTTTATGAGATAGAGTCTTAGAAAATTGGACCCGCAAGGTTGAGAAGTGCAGTCGTGTTTTCCATGCTTTTGAGCATTTATTACCCTTGCAATAAAAATATGCAGTTTAAAATTTCTCTAAAAACAGTTTTAAGAAGGAGAAAGAAATTCTGTCCGTTGTCTGTTATCTGTGTGGGAATCGCTGAGTTTCCAGACCAGGGCAAAGGTTTAACCCCCTCTTGGCATGGCCTTTCATTGTATCAGGAGATGCCCTAGGGAGGAGGAGGTAGTTTTCGCTTCTCATAATCTCCATCGCCCTGATGACCCTGAGAAGCCCCAAATGACCCTGAGAAGCTTACGCTCTAGGTTCTACAAATGCCTCTGTAGAGGCCCCCAAGCCCAGCTGCAATCAGATTACGGCTTCTGACCCTTTCCTGTCACCACCACAACAGTCCCCTTCTGGGCTTTCTCCACCAGGCAAAACTAAAATGTCACTTTAGCACTACCTTCTGTTAAAATAAGAGAAGAAAGATACATCTGACCAAAATCTGGTAACCTGGTAATTATTTGCAAGGTTAGATTCCAAAAACAAAACCAAAAATTTGGTGGTACAGAGGTGTGTCTTTTTGTTGCTGATGGCTGTTTTTAAATGATCTGTCATCAGGGAACCTCCGATTCTTTCTTCAGATTCCTTAGGAAGTCCCCTCTATTCCTAGGGAAGAACGAAGAGCCATCAGCTTCTAACTCTGTGTTAAGGGCACTGCGGTGTAAGGGAAAGCATCCTGGAAGGGTGTAGACCTGGTCCAGGTCCCAGCTGTATCACGAAGTCATTGTATGGCCTTGAGCAAGCCCCCCTCCCACCCCCTCTCCACGCCCGTCTGCAGAATGGGGCTAACAGCTCCTCCCTCTTGGCGCTGTGAAGATGAACTGAGTGCGGTTAAAAGCTCAAAGCATCCCGGGACCCAGCCCTCCGCCAGGGTCTGCACCTCACTGGGAAGCCCTCAGCTCTCCAGTTGGGCAGTGAGGCTGGAGTACAGGGAGGGAGGGGGCTCCACTGGGCTGGGGACCCGCTTGTGACTGCCTTGGTGTGTCTCCTCTCCTGCAGGAAGGCCACCAACTCAGGCGAAGCCAGGCCGCAAGAGATCCACAGCCCACAGAGCGACTCGCTGATGCAGTTCGTCCAGCAGCCAGACGTGATGTACTTTATCCTCTTCCTCTGGCTCCTGGTTTATTGCCTGCTGGTCTTCCCCCAGCTGGACCTCAACGGACTCTGATGTGTGCGTCTGCATAATAAAAAGACAGGATCCTGGCCAGGGGTGGGCAGTCTCCTTACTTCCTTTTATTGCCTGTTCTGGATGGGACACTTCTGCAGATGGTGGAGGACCTCCGAGGAAACTTAGACTCCCTCTCTCCACTTTTCTTTTTCATGTTTCCTTTCTCTCCTGTAAGTCCTAAGCACGCTTTTCTCTTAGGCTATGGACTCAACACTCAGGTGTGTGGCCAGATCCTTGGGTGGGTTTGTTTGTGTGCCTTGCTGTCAGGCATTAAGCTTTGTTACTAATACTCATAACTGGGTCTTAGCTTGCCCCACGCGCTGGTTTTTAAGGTCCCAGATGGACCTGAGTTTCTCGCCTCCCGATGAGAAATAGGATGGATGCCTCAGGGAGACCCCCGCTGGGAAGAAAACTGCCCTACTTTCCTCTGAGAGGGGAGTCTGAGTGAAGGTGCTGGGGGTCTGCGCACCTGCTGTGGTCTGGTGATTGGTCGTTTTCTTTGGGGGGATGTCAGAGCAGCACAAAGCTGCCGGGTCCAGCAAAGGGCGTCCGTGAACGGCAAAGTTCGAGGAAAGCGAAGGCTAGCTCGTGAGCTGCAGTGCACACTTGTTCACCCTCGTTTTCTTTTTTGTGGGGGGCATGCATTTTAATTTTGCTTTTGCATTGATTGAACTGAGGTAAAGCTGTGATTTTCAAACCTTTCCCACCTGTGGAATCCTCCTTTCAAGTGGATTCTCAGGGGCCAGTCTAGTTGATACATGAAAAGCAGAGCTTTGACTGACACAGGGCAAGGCCTGGGATCCCTCTCGCTTTGCCCGGGCAGCTCCCAGCTTCCACTCGTGCCTCCTGAGGCATCTGTGCTGGTACCCAAGGCCCGGCAGGGCACTGTCAAAAAAAAAGCCCCCGAAAGCCCCGAGGAGGAATGCAGAAGTGGCCTGGCTGAGAATGAGCTCTGACTGATGTTAGAGCAGGAAGTGGTCCAGCACGTTCCTGCTTCGAGAGAGCTTTTGTGCACACCTGCCTCACAGTGTGAGTCTCAGCACGGGCATCTTTCGTGGTCAGTTATGATGGGTTTCTTGAAAAGGAAAAGGGTTCCTGGAAAGCACCCTGAGAAGTAACCAGAACGGGCAGGTGGTGAGAGGACAGAGGCATCCACCTGCCCTTCCGTCTTCCTTCTGCCCTGGGCTCCCTCCGCTTCCTGCTTCCTGTCAAGATGCAGGCCATGCGTCCCTGTGTATTACTTCCTCATCCCGTTGTCCTCCCCCTCAGAAAGCGTGTATGTGGGTGAGACTTATAAAACCACAGCCTATTAGGTCAGGAGGGGCAGTTAGACGGCATCTCCTCTGCTGAACCCAGAGAGGCAGAGCTGGTTGGCCAAGATCACACAGCCAACCAGGAATGGAGGCCACCTGATGCCCCATCCAGAGCTGTCCCCTCTTTTAGGGAAATTCCACTGGGCCCGTGAATGTCCTGAAAAAAAAAAATAATAAAATGAATAGATAAGAATGTCCTCATTTAAACAAAACCAAAATTTTTAGGTCAACCACCCACCTTTGTTTTTTCTTGTGTTCTTCCCATGAGGAAGTTTTGTTCGCTTTCAGGCTCATTGCCTGTTCCTTCTAGAATGCCCTCGACAGCTCTAACAGCTTGTCAGCTGACACACCAGCTTTGCTGTTACTCCAGGAATCATGCTTCTCTCTCAGCAAGGCAGGGATTTGCTTATTTCAAGCAGGGGGTCTCAAGTTTACAGAATTCCAGCATGGCCAAAAGAATTGACGTAGCGCATTTGAGTCGATGACAGCCAAAGCCTGGCCTCTAACCCACTCTGGCTATAAGCTGCTTTCTCTCCACGAACGAATCTAAGCCTTCCCAGCTGAAAGCTGTTGGGAGTTTGGAGCGATTCCATCTCGAAGGCCTAGTGTCCCATGGAAAATGAGCTAATTAGCGAGCTCCCTGGCATCACTGCAAGCTGAAAGGTACAGATAATAAAGATTATGTGTGTGATACTTTATAACCCTGGACACCAGACAGCCCTCACCTAAATTAGATGCTTGAAAAGCCAGGGAGGGGCTGACCCGGACGTTAATCATTTCACTTTACGGGTCTAGACCTTGTTCAGAGAAGTCTCTGCGGGTTTCTCCTCTCACCCATTACAAAGTGTGATGTTGTTTAAAACCATCTACTGGCAAGATGCCTGAAAGTCATTTGGTTCAGGGTGGCAGCAAACTGATTTCTTTTTAAAAGAAAAAACAAATCTCACTTGATTACAGGCGTGTGTGAAAGAAGTCAGATATAGAAGGTGGGTGAGAAGCCTGAAGGACAAACCACTCCATGGCTTCCATTTAAGAATTTTTAATTCTTATCCAAGTAATACATGTTCATAGTTTAAAAAGAAACAAATACTGTAAGACTTAATGAAAACTAGCAACCCCTGTGGGTTGCTCTCTAGAAGTAACACTTTCACCTCTTTTAGCTGCTTCTTCTAATGTTTACCTTTGCATTTCTACATAACATGCTTATACTTCTTTTATTTTTAAAATTAATCTAGAAACATCTACTGGCTTGCTACCGTGGTAGAGAAGGATCTTGCTCTTACCCGTACCGTGCTTTGTTTTTCCAGTATAGTTAGATGTGTTATTTGGTACCTCTCTCTTCATTGTGGGCATATGAGGACTGTTTACCCGTGAGCCAAGTAGTGTGCTATAGCTACACGTCCTTCCTCGTCAAATTTCTTCTCCCTCCTTGATGATGATTGATGATGATTTTGGTGTGGCGCATTCCTTAGTAACTTTCTTAGAAAAGAACATGGGAAGTAAATATTATTGTAAATATTTTGAGATTTTGCATAACTTAAAATATCCTTATTCTGCCCTTATCCAGGTGTAGCTGGATATAGAATTGTGGGTGGGAAATAATACCACCCATCGTGGTTGTTGAGATTCCTGATGCCATTCTGATTCCCAGGCCTTTAGCTGCGACTTGGGTTTCTCCACCCTCCCAGAAAACATTGAAGATCCCTTCATTCTTAGTGTTCTGAACTGTCCTGATGGTGTTGTACCCTTGATGGTGTACCTCGTGCTGGGTTCTCATGAGAAACTTCTTAAATTTTCTTGTAATTGTTCACATTCTTTCTTTCTGTACCACCTGTTGTTCCAATGTTGGACCTCCCAGGCTAGACCTTTAATATTTTTTTATCTTTTCTATTTCTCGTCTCTTAATTTATTTTTTTGATCTGCTTTCAAAGGTAGTTGTTTAGCTTTATCTTCTCAATATACCTGATGAATGTTTTATTAATTTTTAATTTCCAAAACGTTTTATAGTGTCCTGTTCTTGTTTCATGGGTGCAGAACTTATTTCTCTGTGGATGTTCATGATAATGGGGTTTGGGGGAAGTTCTTTTCTGCACTCTGTTTTGCCTTTATTTCTTCTAAGTTCTCTTTCTCTTAGTCGCACTCTCTGTCTTTCACATTACAAGTTTTCTTCGGATATCTAGTGATCCTGTGGATCGGTTCGTGTGTAAGAATGATACATCGCAAAATGGATAGGAAGTTCTGTGTGTCAACTGGTGGATTTTTCTGTAGGGTCACCAGGTGGGCACCTGGACTCTTCACGGGAGGACCACACATATCAATATTTGCAGGTCTTTTCTCACTGTGTTTCTTTAGAGGTGTTTCCACTTCTCTCCTGCCTGAGATAAAGGGACATACGCAGAGCTGCTACTAGCCTATGCAGGGCCCTCATGCAGTTTCAAAAAGGGCATTCCCTCTGAGTGGATGGATGACTTAGATATAGGTGCCCCTCTGAGCAGAAGCCACCCGTGGGCACTTGGCCACACTGGCAGAAGCCATCTTTGCCTCTTTCTCCAGGGAAAGGCCTGAGGAGCAGAGTAAGGGCTAGATGTTAACTCGCAATTGCCCCCTTAGCCAGGCACCTTTGTGCCGTGCACGGACTGGAGGGCCGTACCCAGAGATGCCGGCACACACCTGAGCGCCCGCATCCTGCTTCTGAGCGGGCATCTCATCACAGTCAGTGTGTACACTCACTGAATTGCTCCCGCCTCGCTGTGCCTGGTGTCCCTGGGTTAGAGCCCCTCCGCTTCCCCCCCGAGGAGTAGGCTGCTGGCGCTGCTGGGTGCTGGTGCCTCCCCTCTGCACAGGCAGTGCGTGGTGTTGGGATTCCTCGGCCCTGCTCCCGTCTCCCTCAGTTCTGCCCCTGCCATACATGGGTCGGCATCTCGCGCCTGCTGTCATCTCCTCTTCATCCCTTTGTCTTTATGATTCCATCCCTTCCATTCCTTGGTTCTTATTTCCCTGGGGTTTCACCAGGGAAGACACCCTCTTGAATCGCAGGTCCCACGTTTGCTCTCTCCCTGCTTGTTAGGTGGCTCGCTGCTCTGTGGGCGCGCTTGTGAACGTGCCCTGAGTCCTGCTGAGGCATGGTCTGTGAGTGCCTTCATATAACGCTGGGCCAAGTGAGGAGAGGCGAGAGGGCACCTGGAGCTCCCCTGGATGCCCCGGTACAGATAGGACTCTCCTTCCTTCCCTCCTTTCCACCTCCTACCCCGACGAAACTATCTTAGAGCTCCGTTCCCCGCCAGACTCCCGCTTCTTGGAGTTACGCACTTTCTAGGTTTTCTTTGCCACCGTCCCTTCACTGGGAAACAGGTAGTCCGCACTGGTGTCGGCCAGCGAGCAAACTGGCTGCTCCCTCTGTTGGATGGCTGTTTGGAACTTTGTGAGCAATTCCTCCCGGTCAAGCCCGGCCTCTGTAGGGAGTGGGGCTCCCACCAGGACTGGGAACCAGGGAGTACCCCACTCCGTGCCCCCTAGAAGCCACCCTGGGCACAGGCTGCTTCTCCCTTTCTGGGGTTCAGCTCTCTCTTCCCGTCCCCATGCAGTGCGAGCCTGCTCTTTGTGAGGGTCGAACTCGTAGAAGGCAGAAGATTTGGAGCCTGCCTGCCTGGGTAGTCGCTCTTCATAGATTATAGCTCATTTCATAGCCTTAGGGATCACATAAGGGTCTAGTGCTTCATTTAAGAAATGAGAAAACTGACGCTCAGGAAGGAGAGATGACTAGTCACATTGCTAGTTAGTGCCCTCGGGAGGGACGTCCGGACGCCACGTTCTCTACAGAACTCCAGCCTCCAGCCGCTGCAGCTCAAATGCACCTCCCTCGTCACCAAGGACTCAGGACATCACAGAGCTGATCTCTCAAACACAAGCCCGAGTAAACAAGGAAAGAAGGTATCTCTGAATCTCAGAATTCATGGTGGCTTCTTTGTTAAGAATTGTTCTCTTTCCGCGGTCGTGTCATTGGAGAGCACTCCTGTGACACACTCTTTCATGCAAGCTCGGATTTTCTTAACTCTCCAGTAGACCCACTGCTGTTTGGAGCCACGACCTCTCTTTCCTTTGGCTTGGAGACCTTCCCAGCCATTTCTGTTCACGTCCTCAAGTCCCCGAGGTGGTCTGTGTGGGAGTTTCAAATCAACGTGGTTCCTCAGAACCTTCCCAGTGATATTCTGGCCAGGAAACAAGAGCCCACGAAACCCTCCGGGTCCGCATGTGTTATTTCTCTTGCCCTGACATTGCATCATCTCTGCTGAAACCGCCTTTGGGGAGAGACTGAACGTCTTGGGGCTGCAGCTGCTGGCTGGAGTCCCCACTGAACAGCAGGCTCTTCCTCCGGCCCGTCCAGCTGCTCCTGGGATGAAGGCCTTGGCCTGGGCTGAGCAGCTGAAGCCTGAGAGCTGGCGTGAGTGATAACTCGCTTATTTGCTGGAAATAGCTGCGGAGTTTGCCTTAACGGTTAGCCAGTGTCAGGGAGCCAGGAAATGAGACGTGGGTTCTTTGCTGGACGTTGAGTCCCGTAGATCTTCTCGGCTCTGCCTCTTGTCAGGCACCTTGTTGAGGAGCAATAGTCACGCAGGGAAGTGAGCCCAATACCCGTGAAGCGTGGACCCTGCATGCATTGCGCCCAGAATCTTCCATTCCCATCTCACGCAGACCCCGTGGCGTCAGGCTCCAGGTGAGCCCTGGCCCTCCTGGCTCTGACGTGTGACAGCACCACAGTGACCTGCAAGCCGTCAAAGTCCTCCACCCCCGTGGGCGCGACCAGCTTGGGAAGGGGCAAAGGCCTGGAGGCTCTGAGCCCCTACTTCCCTAGGGTCAGCAGAGGCCATCAGAGTTCCGGGGCCCCTCTGACCCTTCTGGAATTGCTGGACCCCTCAGCGGCGGGAAGACCGACTTAGGTGCTTATAATTCATCTGAGAACCTTGATGAAAACCCAGCCCTGGGCTGTAGCACCAACAAGCCAGAAAAATGTCCTCGTTTATGGGAAGAAGACAGCCAGTATTTTACGCTGTTGGACCACGTGGTTTTAAATACACACACCACTCAATAATCTACCGCCCTGATCCCACTGCTAACTTCAAGATCCCTGACACTTAGATGTCAAGGCCAGCTTTCATCTAGCAGGAATCTCTTTA